CCAGGTCTTACTATCTCCTACTTCTTTCATAAGATTCCCTGCTCTACCCAAAGTTTGGCTATGAGTCTCACCATCTGCCTCAATACCCTGAAGGGTAGAGCCTTTCAGAGGCCCCCTGTGGTAGGCTCCTATCCTGTTCCCTGTTTTCTCCCTCCTCTGATGTCCATCCTCTTTGCCTTTCTGAATGGGGATTGAGCATCTTAGCCAGAGTCCTCCTTCTTGATTAGCTTCCTTAGGTGTACAGATTTTAGTATGTTTATCCTATATTATATGTCTAATATCCACTTATGAGTGAGTATATACCCTGTGTGTCTTTCTGCTTCTAGGATACCTCACTCAAGATGATCTTTTCCAGTTCCCATCATTTACCTGCAAATTTCATGATTTCCTTGTTTTTAATTGCTGAGTATTCCATTGTGTAAATATACCACAATTTCTGTATCCATTCCTCCATTGACGGATATAGGATGTTTCCAGATTCTGGCTATTACAAGTAAGCTGCTACAAACATGGTTGAGCAAATGTCCTTGTTGTGTACTTGAGCATCTTTTGGATATCTGCCTAGGAGTGGTATAGGTGGATCTTGAGGAAGCACTATTCCTAATTGTCTGAGAAAGTGCCAGATTGATTTCCAAAAATGGTTGTACAAGTTTACATTCCCACCAGCAGTGGAGGAGAGTTCCCCTTTCTCCACATCCTCTCCAGCATGTGTTGTCAGTTGAGTTTTTGATTTTAGCCATTCTGATGGGTGTAAGGTGAAATCTCAGGATCATTTTGATTTACATTGCCCATCTAAGAATGTTGAACATTTCTTTAAGTGTTTCTCTGCCATTCGATATTCCTCTATTGAGAATTCTCTGTTTAGCTCTGTACCCCATTTTTTAATTGGATTACTTGATTTGTTGTTGTTTAACTTCTTGAGTTCTTTATGTATACTGGATATTAGCCCTTTGTCAGGTATAGGGTTGGTGAAAATCCTTTCCCAATTTGTAGGCAGGCATTTTGTTCTGACAACAATGTCCTTTGCTTTACAGAAGGTTTTCAGTTTAATGAGACCCCATTTATTGATTGTTGCTCTTAGAGCCTGTGCTGTTGGTGTTCTGTTCAGGAACTTGTCTCCTATGCCAATGAGTTCAAGGCTCTTCCCCACTTTTTCTTCTAACAGTTTTAGTGTGTCTGGTTTTATGTTGAGGTCTTTGATCCAGTTGGACTTTAGTTTTGTGCAGGGTGTTAAGGATTGATCTATTTGCATTTTCTACATGTAGACATCCAGTTAGACCAGCACCATTTGTTAAAGATGCTATCTTTTTTCCATTGTATGGTTTTGGCATCTTTGTAAAAAATCAGGTGTCCATAAGTGTGTGGGTTTATTTCTGGGTCTTCTATTTGATTACATTGATCCACCAGTCTGTTTCTATGCCAGTACCATGCAGTTTTTATTACTGTTGCTCTATAGTACAGCTTGAGATCAGGAATGGAGATACCTCCAGAAGATCTTTTATTGTAGAGGATTGTTTCAGCAATTCTGGGTTTCTTGTTATTCCATATGAAGTTGAAAATTTTTCTTTCAAGATCTGTAAAGAATTGTGTTGGTAATTTGATGGGAATTGCATTGAATCTATAGATTGCTTTTGGTAAGATGGCCATTTTTACTGATAGGGGAGGTCCTCCTCTCCTTCTTTCTGATCTTGGCCATTTTTACTATGTTAATCCTGCCAAGCCATGTGCATAGGAAATCTTTCCATCTTCTGATATCTTCTTCTATTTCTTTCTTCAGAGACTGGAAATTTTTTTCATAAAAGTCTTTGCCTTGCTTGGTTAGAGTCACACCGAGGTACTTTATGTCCTTTGTGGCTATTGTGAAGGGTGTTGTTTCCCTAATTTCTCAGCCCTTTTGTCTTGTGTACACAGGAGGGATATTGGGGAATTAATAAGTGCCTTCAGGAGAAGCACCTCAGTCTGGCCTCTTGGCCCCTGAGACAGGCGCTTGAACCAGGCCAGGCCAAGCATACTCCCTCTGTAGGTAGGTATATGACTGCTCAAAGGGCTTTAGGAAAAGCTAATGGTCCCCATACAGAGCCAAGGTAAAGAGCCCAGATCAGATTGTGTTATGGGCTGTGTTCAGCCAGTAGCTCTTCTGTGCCTTTTCTCCTAGCTGCTGTTTGGGAAACAAGAAGTGCAGACTGCTGTCACTTGGTTTCATTGCCAGCGACCGGAAGTAATGTCTTTTACCTGATCGGCGACTTGACATGGCTGCTTAACAACCCGATTAATCAAACCTAGCTCATCCTGTTAGAATTAATGAGCCTAGGAAACGCTGCCATGAATAATGAGGGCTTTCCCCCTCCCCCAGCACCTCTCTCTGCTCACCCCCTCCCTTTTCCTTTCCTTAGCCGTAGCACAGATACTCAGTACCGCGGGGAGTTAGAGTTTGCTGTACTGAGTGGCCAGCAACACACACGACTCCCTTTTCTTCCCTGCATCAGAGAACCCAGGACTGGCTATGTCCTAGCAGAATAAAACTTCCTGTTCACCAAACGGATTAAGCTCACGATTAGCTGCCAAAGTCAGATGATTGTCTAGCTGTACTGAGTGCTAGGGATGCAAAGTTATATGAAATACCGTCCTGTGAGGGAATCATAGTGCAATGATCTGTGGACAAATGAAGATGCGCCATGAAATGAGATTGGGAAAGGCCACGGCCAAGAGAAGCTATCAGTACTTGAAGAGCAGAGTGGGGAACTAGGTGGGGTCTCATGCTGATCACCTGAGTACCTTCTACCCAGTTAACTCACTGCACAGGTGATGGAGTTCTGGCATGGCAAAAACTACTGGGTTAATAGGGTGAACGTGGTCCCTAGTCTCACAGAATGGGCCATGCAGGTGCCTAGGAAGACATTTGGCCTATTTTTTTTTTTTCATTTAGTCATTCAAACACGGAGGGTTGCTTTCTACTTTAGGGCTTGGCACTGGGAAAAGAGGTACAAAGATATATTCCTCATTCCTGCCTTCCGGGGATCCTTTGGAAGGCGGATAGGTACATGGATAGAGCCTCGTGGTCATGTGTTAGATTCTCTAAGCGTAATATGCTAAACTCATCCACTATAAAGTTCTTTCAGGCTAAAGCACCCATACCCACCTGGTGAAACCACGGGTGACTCACTGTGGGAAGCAGTATTGAAACCACCTGGAAAAAATTAATCATTTGAGTAGACTGAGTACAAAAGAACTCCATACAAACCAAGACTGAGATTTTGCATATGGGAGTTAAAATAAGAGGAAAAGATGATTCCAGAAATCATAGAAGGAGACAGCTGGTTCTGTAATCTACAGTGAAGAGGACGACTAAATAAGCAGATAGACACACTTAGGGGCCAGAAGATCCTGGATTTGCTTATTCATGGTTGAGAACAGGCATATTCTTCCTTAAAAAAAAAAATGAAACATTCAAATAAGCAGGGGAATTATCCCAAACATAGGGGATAATGTTTGGGGCTCAAGAATTGGGTTGCGAATGGGTCCCTAGAGTGAGACAGAGGAGCTGAATCTGAAATAAGTGATCAGGGGTGGAAACATGGAAAGTAAAAAAGGAAGCTTTGAGTAAGACCAGAGGGAATTCAGAGCCCAACTGTTAAAGTCTCTAAGAAGGTGAGAGTAAGAGCTGAGTCAATGGGGATTTAATGAGCCAAGAGGGTAGAAAGTGAGCTGGGAAGAGAAAGAGAGTGAAGAAAGAGAGAGTGAAGAAAAGGAGATGAGAGCCAGGTAGTGGTGGCGCACACCTTTGATCCCAGCACTTGGGAGGCAGAAGAGGTGGATCCCTCTGAGCTCGAGGCCGGCCTGAACTACAGACTGAGTTCAAGGATAGACAGAGCTACACAGAGAAACCCTGTCCCAGAACAAAACCAAACAAAGCAAAACAAAAGGAGGGCGGCAGGGAAACCCGGGGGTGAGATTCACAGAGACACTTTGGGGCCACATCAGGAGACAAGAGGCGCAAGTTTCAATCACACTGTCTGATGTGTCATGGGGAACTCTGGACAATGAGCCATGCTATGCTGCTCAGTTACAAGAGACTTCAGATCCAGAAACCATCTAGCTTGGCCAGATGGTTTGTTTCCCAGCTTCCAATGCTCCTAAGCTGGTCTTCCCCCACCCCCTATAGTTGGCTGGAGCAACCCAGACCTTCAGCAAGGACATTGGCCAAACTCCAAGATCCCTTAGGATTTAGGCCTGACCTACATTTTTTTTTCTCTCTCAGGGACCCAGCATGGAAAGAAAGCATCACAGAGAGGATCAGTGTCTTTGCAGAAGAATGCAAAGGCTCAAGTTCAGGGTCCTACAGCCTATAGGCATCTCTACACTCAGTCAAAGTGACCCCTGTGATATATTTTTAAACTGTTACAAACAGACTGCTGAAAGGTTTAGAAAAAGATTCCCTGTAGGACTAGAGGTGGTCTGTATGAGATTCTGGGATCAATCACCAGCACTACCAAAAATACAAATCTGTGGCTAGCTGGAGATGGATGGTACTTTTTGCCCTGCTTTTGGTCTGAGTTCTCCAAATCACACCCATCTCTACCAGCAGATTCCCATCATTTGTGCTACCTCTCCAGCTCTTGGGGGTATTTGACTTTGGTTGAGTTTCTAATGAGAAACTCATGGAGCCTACCAGCCACCATTGGACAACAGAGGGCTTCCATAAATATCCTGGGTCTTAGGCAGTTCAAGAAGCACTGTTTTGTGTCTTACTAGAGAGGTGGAAGGTCCTACAACTGGTAATTTAGCTGACTAAAGCCACTTGGATTCTGTGGTAGGAAAGCTGGGGCCCAGGCTTCTTCAGTAGATTCTGGTGCCTCTAGACAACACTTGTGGCTTGCAAGGAGTAGCCTTATCTGGGCTATCAGAGTGGCTCAGACCAGGGTTCCGGTATCCACCCACCAGTCTGTCACTTGCTGGACTGAGGTTCCGGGCTCACCACCATTCCCTCTTTTTCTCCACAGGGAGAGCTGCTAAGCCCATGCCGCTGTGATGGTTCTGTCAAATGTACACACCAGCCTTGTCTCATCAAGTGGATCAGTGAAAGGGGCTGCTGGAGCTGTGAGCTGTGCTACTACAAGTACCACGTCATCGCCATAAGCACAAAGAATCCTCTACAGGTAAATCCAGGGCCTCCCAGCCTGGGTCCCCTCATGATCTGCTTTATGGTAAGGGAATTACTGAATGTCAGATTCAAGGCAGTGTGGTGCTACACAGTCAAGAGGGGGTAAAAGAAGTTCTTTTCTCTTAAGTCTAGCCAAGAAGGGGGGAAGGGTTGGGCAAACAGAAAAAAAAATATGCAATATGGGGAAAGAGGTCAGGGGAGGTAGATGGCATAAAAAAACAGATGTGTTGATGAGAAGAGGAAAGGAAGAAAGAAGAAATAGGAGATTGGGGGAAAGGGAAGGACAGAAAGAAAAAGAGGAAGGGAGGGAAGAAGGGAAAAAAAGAGAGAAGACAAAGAGAACAGGTGGTTGGGGGAGACATGCTGGGGAAATGAGGCTTGAGTTAAAGCCAAAGGCTTGAAAAGAATCTGGGTAGACAAGATGGCTCAGTGGCACTTTTCAGACTTCAACATAATTGTGATTTACCTGGAGTCTTAACATGTGTATTGCCATTCACTGGGCTAGAGCAGGGTCCAAGAGCCTTCATTGCTAACAAGCTATGAGAGGGAGGTACTCCTCCTGTCCCACAGACCACTCTTTCTGTGACAAGGGACAGAGTGGGAAGGAATGGAGAAGAAACAGCAAAGAAGGGCAAAGAAAATGGAGAAAGGGGTGTACAGGAAGAAGCCTCGATGAGTAACAAAAGAATACCATGGGAGTTAAGGGAAGGCAGGGCCAGAGCTAGAGTAGGGACCTGTCAATCAGAATGGCAGAACTCAGGGCTCTCTCTGCCCACTCTCTCTTCTCCTCCTCTGCTGACATAGCCACCCCCACCCAGTTGCTGGCAGGTCCTATGCCAATCAGCCAATCAGTGTATCAGTAAGATTGGTACACAGACACAGACACACACACACACACGCACACATGCACACAGAAAGAGCATTCTGCTTCTAAAAATATCTCCACATACATATTGTCAGTCAAGTAAGCCGCCATGTATTTAATTAGCCAGCAAGACAGTGAGGATGGAGAGCACAGGTGCCTGAGTTTCCCTCCTCTCTGAGTGGGGCAGAGTGCCAACCTTGCAAACCCAGGAGGGTTGGGAGTGGGTGACTGCAGTAGGGTCTTTGCAGTGAGGAGCATCTAAAAACATGTGGAGTTGCCTGTGGCATTCTCCATGGGGCACTCTCAGAAATGTGGGGGAGGGAGGCACCAAAGTCCCAGGCAGCTCAGCCTCTTGATGGGGAGCCCCTCCCAACTGCCGGTTCCATCTTCAGCCATTTGTCTCAGATCTTAAGATGTCTTAAAATAGCAGCGCCAAGCAACAGCTGAGTCTATGTCCTGGGGGTGCAGCAAAGGTCCGAGCGCATTGACCCGCCTGTTTCTTTACAGCTGACTCAGGCCTCAGGAAAGGTCAGATCCACAATCCATGAACTCACTCCAAGACACCCTGATCTTGGTTCCACCTTTGACTCATATAATGAAAAAAAAAAAAATCATTCAGGTATAGCTTTTTTCTTGGCCTAAAGAAAAGGTTATTTTAAGCCTATGTCAGGTAAGCAAATGGCAGTGCTGGCAATATCAGTCAGTTAATCTATTTCCAAGTTACTACCCTGACTTCAATTATGAGTTTCTAGGCACTGGGGACCCCTCTGATTCTGTTGGTGCTAGAAATGCAATCGTGTGTGTGTGCTCAGTAAATGCCAGTTCCTTTTTCTACATAAAAGTAGTTTGGCCTTGGAACTGCACTATATGGTTGTATCCTAAATTGTTCCAAGTGTGTGTCCTGGGCTCCTCTGGCCTAGCTAAGTGTGACACAACTCTCTGCTCTGCCACAGTGGCCATCCTCTATGCAAAAAGCCCAGCTGGACTGTCTGTAGTAGAGGTTGGGACGGGCAGACCTGCTAGAAGCCAACAGAGCAACAGATAGAATTTTGTCTTCAGAGCAGGGAGATGCTTTTCCATATATCTTGGCTTTCTTGTGTCTCAGGCAATGAGTAAGAAATAGTTCAAGGCTTCACTATGGGACATTATATTGGTGATCTTCTCAAAGCAAGGTTTGTATCTAGAATACCTACTGAGAAAGGAGTAGGTCTTGCCCTACTTGCTGCAAGGCCCCATTGCCTGCTTCCCACCTTGTCTTTGGTAACTCTGAACAGCAATTTCATTAGTCCTATCTTCCCTGTGGTTTGAATTACCCATGAGCACCTGCAAACCCAAAAAACATTAAAAGGAAAACTCCAGAAAGAATTCATAATATTTAACTCTAAGTTGTTCTGGGTAGGGTGAGAAAATGCCCTTCCTTCCAGCTCCATCCTTCCTAGGACATGAGTCATCCCCTTTGTTCATCTACCCAAGCTACCTATGCTGCATACCCGTTAGTTATTTAGTAGCCACCTCGGCTATCAGATTCACTAGCATGAAACATCACAGTGCTTGGATAGAGGGTCTACTGATGTCTGAGGCTTCAGGTATCTTCAAATTTAACCCTGTAAACAGCTCAATTGGGGCACTATTGCTATTCAATGCACAGGTTTAGACAATGGAGGCATAGCGGGATTTGTGAACTTTGGAAGCTGTGTAGCTATGAGTCAGCAGAGCATGTTGCTGTCTGCAACAGGAGTTCCTGAATCCAGGTACCTACCCTCTACATAACACCCAGGCACACTACACACGTATGTTCCCTGCCTTGACACGTTTATCTGTGCCTTTACTGAAACATAGTAAAGAATGACCTTCACGCCCTGGCTTCACACTTAAGACTCATAATTCGCTAGGAAGAATGGAAGAGCGATTACTTCCATCTTTAAAGAAGGGGAAATTGATAGTCATCGTGATTTATTGACTTCTCACTAGCACTCAACAAGTTTGGGGACACAGCTCAACCAAAATTGGGTCCTCTGATGCCTTACTTGGTGTCCCCTCCTGGTTTAAGGGACAAAATTTCCTCCTTGGACTCTACCCATTGTCTTTTCACTCCCTAGTGCTACAAGACTAGAGAGGAAGTCTTACAACTTGAGGATCAGAACCTCATTTAGAGTGAGGTTCTAGTGTTCCTGGTATTGAGTGGCAGCAGATCTTGGTACCACTAATGCCCTACCCCATTCCCAGCCTTCCTGTCAGATCTCAGAGCTCTCTGCTTCTCAGCTATCTCCTTGGGGTGCCTCTTGTTACACTTCCATGGGGCCCCACACAGGACAAGAAAGAGCTCTTGTACACATCACCTCATCCTTCCTGTTCTTCAGAACATTCACTGTAGTCCACGGCCCCATTAGGTGGCTTGGGGTTAGAAGGAATATTATCAGGATAAAGAGGACCTTTCTATGCTTCTATATCTTTGGGATTATGGAGGAGCAGGGGAAGTTGTGGGTTACTGATGGTGACCTAACTAAATGTTAAATGTAACTAAACCTAACTAAATGTAAACAATAAACTCACTAGAAATACTCTTCTAGACTGTGTGGGGTTGACCCTGGAAAAAAACATTTGTTGTACATGAGAGAAGTCTATATGATAGGACCATCTTCTGGAAAATGCCTTTGTTATGTGTAACTCTAAGCTAGGGATGTGCTGGAAAATTTAAAGGGCTAATTCTCTGTAATGGGACACTATCTGTATAATTAAATGTTAAGGCCCATGTCCTACATTTGGACTAAAAGTGAAGTGTTTTCCAATACTTACTGTCCCTTGGAAGCCACTGGCCTACCCCATCTGAGCCAATGATGACAGAGGGAGGGGTCCCTGTTGGCAGGTAGAAGGCACTGTGTCTCTTCTCTTCTCTGTGTTTAGGCCACAATGATTCCTGGGTGAGCTCCAGAAAAGACATTATGCGGATCCATGATGGACTGCATATATAAATTCTTAAAGTAATGTGTTCCCAAGGCTGTGGATGACATAAGGCAAGGGCCTTGTCCAGTTCTGTCTAGTGTTTTAGCTCCATCACCTGGAGTAGTGGCCAGGCACATAGAAATAGTCAATACTTATTTGTTGAATGAAACAAACCTAAACTAAAACCCTATTCAGGGCTAACTTAGGACATTGCTTTATAGATGAGACATAGAATCATAAAATTCCATAGCCAAACATTCACCCGCACTGGAGTCTCCAACTCAATACTGCTCTAAATATGCAAAAAGAGTTGAAATACAGTCACTATACTGTGAGCTGGCTTTTTTTCCTTACTCCCATATCCCGTGCCCTCTCCTACTCTGTCAAATTGTTGATCTCTAGCATATATATTAAATGGCAGGCAAAATGGTATTGTAGAAACAACATAAAACAGTCAAAGGAAGACCTGTGCCCTCTTGGCACCTATTAGTGATAAAATCAACTGTGCTGCTCTGAAAGGAATATTTCGGCACCTTGGAACAACACCCACACTGGCGCTTTGTTTTCCTTCTTGTCTTCAGATTTCTATGTCTAGGGAGGTCAAGTATAAGGGTCTCCTCCTCAGCCATGCCTGCTCAGAGCCCCTTCCTTACAATAATATCAGATTATTTTGTATGGTGTGGGTCTCCCTTGTACTAAAAGTATAATATGAAAATGCAAAGCTGTCTGTTGTATTACGAATGGAGAAGCCCTGGTTCAAGCTCTCTGCCAATGAGCTGCTGGAGCAGAAGCAAGAGTGTGGGAATGGGATACACTTACTCAAATCTAAAACAGCTGATCTGTCACTCTTTCCTCCCCAGTGGCAGGCTATATCCCTGACGGTCATCGAGAAAGTTCAGATTGCAGCCGCCATCTTGGGTTCTCTCTTCCTCATCGCCAGTATCTCTTGGCTCATCTGGTCAACCTTCAGTCCCTCAGCAAAATGGCAACGCCAAGACCTCCTCTTCCAGATCTGCTACGGGATGTATGGCTTCATGGATGTGGTGTGCATAGGTGGGTCTGAGGGCTTGTCTCCATGAGAAGTGATGAGCTACTTGGTAAAGAAATGGAAAAATCCCTCAGGATCCCTTCTACTTGGAGGCCAAGTGAAGAAGCATTGGGCTTAAGACCCATGATCTAGGGTGAGGCCATAACTTAGGCATAAGAGGTGTGTAAAAGAAGAGGGGGCAGGGCAAAAAAGATAATGCCAAGCCAGTTGGTCTTGCTCAATTGAAGACAAGGCTTGCCTCTGAGGTAGAGAACGTCAGTTGAGGGGTTTATCTACCTTACGTAGGGAATGGAAGGCTGCTTCTCGGTTACATGCCCTATAGGCCATAACACAGTATGTATATAGAGCAAAATACCTAGAAGCACCCATGATGAGAATTGTCTTTTTATCTTGCTGTGTGTATGTATGTACAGGCAGGTTGATCACATGTGTATGAAGGTTTGCACATGCATGCACATATATTTGGAGGTGGGGCCAGAAGACAGCTTTGGGTGTTGTCCATAAGTGCCTTCCATCTTTAGTTTGAGATGGGGTCTCTCATTGTCCTGGAACTTTACCATGTAGGCTAGACGAGCTGGCTAGTAAGTTCCAGGGATCTACCTATGTCCATCTGTCTTCTCACCATTTCTGAAACTACAGATATGCTACCATACCTGGCTTTTCACATGGCCTCTGGGAATTAGAACTTATCAGTTCCTCACACTTGTAAAGCAAGCCCTTCTACCAACTAAGCCATCTCTTTGGCCCCTCCATTTTTCTTCTTCTATAAGCCTATCCTAGTATCCCAGATTTCTCTAATCTAATGGTTTACAAAGTATGTATAAACTGGGGGTTCCACACAGGTCCAGGAGCCAGTTTGGGAAATAGGAAATAGAAAGATGTTCCAAAGCCTCACCCCTGATTCGCTATGAGCTTCTGGTTTGGTTTTGTTTGTTTGTTTTTTTAAATTCATTACAGGTAGTATTTTGTTTAAAAAGCTTTACTGTTTTAGGAAAAGGTTAGAACCGTCTTCTTTAGTCCTCACTTCTCCCCCTACCCAGTTTTCAAGTCAACCTTTCACCTCTTTTTTTACCATGTTTGGAAGAGCGCTGGGTCCTTTTTCTTTCACAGATGTTTGCTGCTATTTATGGCAAAGGTTTGTTCCATGCAAATGAGGAGGTGGAAATGGTTATTCTGAGTGCAATGAAGCATGTTTAAACCCTGCCCATACATCCTCATCTGTAACTCTCATATCCCCAGGTCACAGTGCTGGGAGCATGAGAGTAGCACAGTGTTCATCTCTGACACTGGGACATTACATCAAATATGTGACACTGCTCTGTTTGACAGGAAGACATCTACTAGTAATAACTTGACTGAGATGATGGTGACAAGAACTTCTTTGGGGTCATTTAATACTAGAAATTGAAAAGACCTGGAGATGACCATACTGATCCCAGAAGCCATGGACCAGTAATGGCAGCCCTGTGTGTTTATCTAAGCCAATATATTCTGTCTCTCTATGCTAACCCAACATATCAACCCAGGGGACAAAGATGACTTTTTTTTAGATTGTTAAATTTTAAAAGATTCATCTTAGGCTAACTCAACAGGACCTATAGACCTATAGTCCTGTTGAATAGGCCCTATAGTTCGGTGCTTTCCCAGGATGGGCTAACCGACCCTAGAGAATGCTAGGAAGTGAAATAAAACAGAGAGTGCCATGTAACCTAGACGAGGAGCAGGAGGTGATGATGAGCAGTGGGAGGCCATAAGCAGATTCCTGGGGTGGCTGTAATAATGGTAGCTGTGACGGTCACCAGTGGTGAAGCTGGTGGCTGTAAGGGTAAAATTCGGTATCAGCTGCTCTTCCTTTGCAGTCCTGTCCCCAGTGGTACAGGCAAGTGTGTGGGTGTGAAAATGTAGGGACTTTCTAAAGGGAGGATCAAGTGGAAGCTGCAATATTCACCAGGGATGTTTTTTATTTTTGGTCTCAACTTGTCACTCAGTTTCACTAGAAAGCAAACGACATCTGTCTAGGGGGTGTAAGATGGAAAGTCAGGCTTACATCTGCTGGAGAATCCTCAGCGTGTCCCCCCTTTCACATGCTTCTGAGTCCAGGCTCATCCCTTGGCTCAAAAGCAAATGGGAGCCACAGTGTCATTGCATTGTTTTCCTAGTCCCCTGGAAATGTGGGTTGAGAAAACAATGTTGAGTAAAAGAATCCATATCCAAGGTCCAAGCTTCTTATATGAAGCAATGAAGCGCTGCATAAAAAATATTGCCAGGAGGAAAGAAAATAAGTCCAGCACAGTATTGGCTCAAAGGAGCTAAAGAATCTGCTGTTATAAGCATCTAGATTTTTTTTTCTGTTTCTCAGATACCAGCACCAATTTGTTCCCTTAAACTGTTAAATAGTCATGGATAGTAAAGAATGTGTGTAAGCATTAAATAGGTAGTTCTTTATGTATAGATCTTTTAACACGATTTTACTTTTCTATTGGCGTAGTATGATGAGTTGCAGTTCAGGAAGGTGGGGGTACTCTGCGGAGAGATTCTGCTGGAAGCCAAGAGCAAACACTGTCTGTTTACTGCTTGTGAAACCAAGTCTGTCTCATTCGCAGCTGGATCCATCCAGCTGGCTTCTAGGAGCATTGGTTGTCACTGAGAAAACTGAGAGCAATGCTTCTCTCAAAGAATGGTCTTTAGTTCTCATCAAAGGATTTTTCTTGAAGTGGTGTCCAGGGTCTCTAGATTCCCCATTGGATGCAGCCTATTTCCAGGGTTGAGGTCAATGCCTTAGAATGTAAGCATATGTTGGGTTAGGGTCTTAATCTCCTACACCAATGCATGCTACTTCGAAAATCAAATGTAAGTTAATGAGAACCCAGCAAACCATTGAATCCCTGGAAAGAAGTGATGAGGGTACAGCAGCTCTTTAGTGATTAGAGGGGTGTGAACTGTGACCATATTTCATAAGTTTGGTAAAGAGCACCTGTACTCTAGGTCACACAGCTAAGGAGTTGAGAACAGAAGCAAGAACTTCTGGCCCTAATTCCAGGATATTGTCTATGGCCTGTTTTATCTCTGGTTGCTCTGTATGAAATTATATGTATCAGTTAGGGATGACTCCTCACCCAGCAATATTGTAACCTAGCAGACTTGAAGGGAGACAAAAACGAACCCAGTCATCACCACCAGCAGCCATCAGAAGTTCCCTGGGCCCCATCTATTTCAGTCTTGGGTTTGGGAATCAAGCGATAAGCCATGGTTTGCACCTTTTTAAAAGTCAGTGTTTTTACACCAGTAGAGAAAAAGGGTATTTTAGGTTAGGTAAACCCAATTCTACTGATCAACATGGATGTGGGAGATCTACTCACTCATACACCAACATTATTGAGAGGGCACTGGACACACACTCAAACATAAGAGGTACTGGTTCTGGTGGATCTTATAGCTCATGGAGGGAAATGAACACTGGCACTCTGAAATCAGGGCTTGTGCTGGGGTTTGAATACAGACATGGGTCCTGGAAAGAGGAAACTGGGTCAAAGGGGTTTGGGATGGCTGTATGCATTTTCTGCAATAGTATTTTCTGGCTGCCTTCTGTTTCCTCCAAACCAAGAAACATTAAAAGAGAGATGAATGAGACCTATCTGTTCAAGAACTCAGATCTACAGCTACAATATAACTTACTGTGGTGGTGGAGGGGCTGTCTGTTGGAGACAGAGATGAAAGCAGACAGAGAAAAGAGCAATGAACTCTCTTGGAAGATGCCAAGAGACTTGCTGAAGGAATCTTGCCCTTAAGCAAGTTTTAAAAGAGAAATCAAAGTTTGTCCAAAAGAGGGAGAAGAATATTCTAGACAAAGGAACTTGTCCATGTGGAAACACAGAAAGGTGAAGAAGATACGCTTGGGAAGCTGAGTTTGTTTATATGACAAAGGACCAGGGCAGGAGGTTGGCGATGAGCAATGAATTTGGGAAAGTTGGCAGAGGCCAAATCCCACAGGGCCATAAATCATGTGAACTCTGATATTACTCTGCTGAGGATGTAGAAGCAATGACAGAATTTTACATAAGAAAGTCCGGTGAGACATAGATTTTTAAACCTGTATATCTAACAACTATGGGAAGGATAGGTCACAGCTGGGCAGACTGGACTTAGGAAGGGCTGGCTGAAAAGTAATAATCTAAGCAGGAAACAGAAATACACAATGGGCAAGAGGTGTAAAGGTGACCTTGAGATTCACACAGCCTGTGGGACGGATGGAATGAGGCAGGCAGTCTCTGGAACAAAAAGGAATCCAAGGGCATGCTTTGGCTTAAAATCCAGGCATGGGGGCGGAGGTTGTCCCTAAACAACCATTTTCAGTCAAGAGAAGCAAGTCATCATAGACAGCAGAGATGAGAAGATGGCTCCAGGGAAGACTGATTGGAGGTTGGGGCTGAAGGGGAAAAGGCCTTCATAGCATATAGGTAGGTGTGATAGAAGAAGATGATGTAAGATAGAGGAAGATGTTGAGGGCTTTGGACCAGTCCTGCAAGAGTTGGTGGGAGATAAGGGGCAGTAAAAGGTTTAGTCTATGCCCAGTATTCCTTTGAAAGTTAGGTCGAATTGGAAGCAGATTTGGAGGTCCATAGAAAGAACTGGGGCTGTGGGTTTGACGAGTTAATATAAGAGGGATGCTCACAGAAGAAAGAGTTGGCTTAAGAGCATAAGGTGGGTTACATTAAGCATTTAAGGGACTGATGGAGACAGAACGGGGAGAACAGGAAGAACTGAGTCTCTGATGTCAGCGGTGGTGTCTGGCCTGACAGGAACGACAAGATGGAATTGTCTAGGGCCCACAGCCGCATCTCACTCCGTTTCTTACTAAGTTTGTGTCCTTAAGTCCAAGCTCCCTTCGCTTCCTGTTCCTCCTCCATGAAGCCCTAACAGCAGCATCACCAGAAGTTTGTTAAGAGGACTTAAGCACATGGTAAGAGCGCAGTCCTCTTAAACTGAGCAAAGGTTTGCCAACTGT